CATAGGAGGGTAGGAGCCTAACATCTGTGTGGGGGAAGGGGGAAGGAACTTGCTTCAGTCTGCTAAACTGCTTCCTGTCACAAAGATATGAAAATACTTTTTGCCTCCAGATAAAGCCAACACAGGCAACATTCCTTTGTTATGATGGAACTGGACAAAATTTTGTGTCAGAAGAGGTGCTCCTCTCACTTGTGGACTGGTTATTGCTTATGGCGAGACTGTGCATGTAATAGGATGGATCTGCTTGGCTATATAAAGGGGCCAGAGTCCTTCCTGTCTCTGCATTCTCTGAGCAGGCCGCCTGAGATGTGTGTATCACATTCTGGTTTAATGTTTATTCAATAATAAAAGTCCCCCTCACACACACACAATACCTTTGGGGAGAGGATTTCTGAGTGGGAGATCTCTTTTTGAATTATATTTCCTCGAAAGTAATTTTGTCTGATGCATAGTCTCTCCTTGACCAGGCTCTCTTAAATTCCCTCCCAACTAGTCAACTTTTGGATTCCCATGTCTTTTTTTTTTTTTTTTTTTGGTACCAGGGATCAAACTCAGGACCCATGTCTGTCTTTGCATGGCCCAATTTTAGCAAGAATTCTACTAACTGATTTAGCCAGAAGCCCCGATCCTCACTGTCTAATTACCCTCAATATCTGATCAGTTTCCTCATCTTCCACAACCCCTTTGATGAAGTCCCATAACCCCGGCCTGCCTGCAGCAAGAATCCTTTTGGCCAGTTTAGCCAGAATGCCCCTTCACCCCTGATGTTCTCTCCTAATAATTTTCCATCCACTGACTCCCACCCTGTTCCTTGGATGGAAATCTCCACTTTTCCTTGTTATGTTTAGAATTCAACCCAGTTCAGTACTGAGATCTCTTTTCCTTTATTGCAATAGTGCTGAATAATATGTTTTACCACTTTAATTATTGTGCAGCTCTGGTTTTCTTTGATGAGAAGTGACAGAAAGAAGAAAGATGAAGCTAAAGAGCAAGCTTGGGGCCAGAGGTTAAGAGTGCTATGTCTGTATGTAGGCCTCACCCCATAGCCATGGAGTGATTATGGAAGATTCATAGTCAGGGAAGGAAAATAAACAGATTTTGACTTTAGAAAAATGACTCCAGTGGTAATGTGGAGGAAGGATTAGAAGGAAGAAGGTTTGGAAAGGAGAAGTGGCAAAGAATCAAATGTGTATAGGATAACAATTTGTAAATACTAAAGGGTTTTTAGTCTCTTGTCACTCAAAAAGTTATTCCTTGACTGACTTTCTGTAAGCCACCATAACAATATCTGGGGTTGGTTTTTTTTTTTTTTTTTTTAACCCCACAAGGACAATATTTCTCCAAGATGGGGAGAGTAGAGGAGAGCAGTAGTAGGCGCGGCTGCATGTTGGCCACAATCCTTGACAATTTTACTGAATGCTTTTCATTTATCACTGGTCCCGAGCGCCTAATGATTCCCAAGATCCCAAGCACTGTTAAATTCTAAAATATTTCTGATGCTATCCATCAGGAGAAAGGAGCTGCTAATCACAGTGGCTGGTGGCTCAGTTTATGGTAAATGCTTAATATTATTAGTGAGTTCTTGTACTCAGTTGCAAAACTGGGGTGTGCCTGACAGCACAAATCCCTCATTTGTTGACAGCACCTACCTAGAGCCCCAAACTGACTATTGATTTTCTGGACTCACGTGGGTACAGGTTTTCCTAGTATAAACTCCTGTAAACGAATTCATGTTGAGACACTTAGTAGAAATCAAGATGAACCAAGACAACTTGAATGAACCACACACACGTTTATTAAATAGTTAACAAAGGCACATCAATAACCACTTACAACATATTTAATCAACACGGGCACAATTACCACTTAACTGCCAATTTTTCAAGAAAAAATAATTGTTCAACTCTTCAGGTCATGACAACTAAGGTCAAAGTCTCAGTCCCAGTCTTATTCTTCCCGCTCTCTTCTTGAGAACTGCACTGATCCTCCAGGGGTAACCGTGTGGTCTCTGGGAACACACTGACCAGAGACACCCCTCAGATTCCTTCTCCACTCCCTCAAATCCAGTTTTAGTGACCACACTGTCTTGTTTAGCAGGTGGTTTCTGCTGTCCACCCACTGTTACTCTATGATTTTCCCCCGATCTCACTCTGCAGTTGCACCTGAAAGCAGCACATTGCATCACTTACAGGCAGACACTTTCCCCTTCTCATCCAGAAAACTGTACCTTGCACTGGCTGCCTTAGCTGTCCTTTCATTGTGCTGTGTCCATGCACAACACAAAACTGCTAGCCTACTCTGACAAGAATTGCGTTCTTCTGTGGATTTCTGCATCTGCTTCAGAATTCTGTGTTTCTGCTTTGGGGACCCGTTTGTATGGAGGATAATCAAACCTTCTGTGCCTCTCATAAACATTACCCTATGTCCTGGTGGCAGCCCTTCTATCTAAAGTACTGTTCTTGGAGCTCTTGACTTTTATTTCCCAGAATCCCATTGTCCTCCTGCTTAGGGGAAGAAGTGTTCAATTAGGTAGTAAAAGGAAAATGTAGGAGGATTCATTTAAATGGAAACTTCTAGTACAGGAAAGGGCCAAATAAAAAAATCAGAGTATATGTGTTCATCTGTTGAATATTAGCAAGTGTACCGGGTGTGACTAAAAAATATAGTGAATGTTTAAAATTTAAAAATTTATTACATTAAAAGGCACATTGCTATTAAACACCCTCAAAAATATTCCCCCCTTATCATGAACACACTTATACCATGGTTCTTGTCCCTTTCGGAAGCAGTTCTGGGAAGTGTTTATGTCTTTGGGAAGTGTGATTAAAAGATGCAGTGAACGCAGCTGCCGAATACTATCCAACAGAAAGGCAGGCTTGTGAAAACATGCCTGTATTTCCGTCCCCCTTACTCACCAGATCTGGCACCATGTGACTTCTGACTCTTCCCCACAGTCAAAATGACCATAAAAAATAAACATTTTAAATTGATTCAGGACGTTGAGGCAGCTACAATAGTGCAAAGACACTCATGAAAGTAGACTTTCAGAACTGCTTCAGAAAGTGGCAAAAATAATGGGATAAGTGTGCTCAAGGTGAGGGGGATTAATGGCAGTATATCTCTTATTGAAATTAAAATATTTAAACATCCACCTTCATTTTTGATCATGCCTCATAGGCTTATATAATCATGTATAGGCTTGTCACTGTATCATAATTGCTACAGATGCTGACCACGGGAAACAATTCCGTTTCATGGAATTTGGGGATGATCACTAGTCAAATTATAGGTTCATTATCATTTCAGGACTTTTTTGACAATTAACAGAATTAGAAGTCTTCAAATTTTTGGCCTTCTTGAGGTGATAAATGATTACAGCACTCATCTGTAGGAATTTGATTGTTGCTGCTAAATGCTGAGGTTTAATGCCTAGAATATAGCTTTGGTAAAACACATCTCCTAACACTCTAGTGTTACAGAATGGCCATGTTTAATGTGCTACACCTCCTGAGAATATGTGCACATGGCTGCCTGATACTGTACCACTGGAGAGTCTTGCCTATTTAAATAAAAGCATTCCCAGGACGGGCAGCACAGTAAACATTGCCATTCTTGATTTTCTCTCACAAATTTCAGCTGTGAGCTTCTCTCTCTTAGCTAGAGGTGCCCAACAGGAAAGTTCTGAAGTGGAGAAGTCCAGATCTAACTGAGGATGCAGGCCTGACAAACTGCTACCATAGGGCTTTTAGAGGGCGAAAGGCAACCATGAGGGATGAGTAAAGGAGGGCCTTAGGAAGACCCCCTGAAAAGAAGTTGAAAAGTACCCAAGACAAACTTGGTTTTTACATAAAATTTTGCCTGTGGGTCACCTTTCTCCTGACAAAAGAAACTCCAAGACTCCATTTTGACCAGGGTTGAGAATGCCTGCCCTGAACTCTTATTTATCATTCAGCAGCTTCAAAGAGAAAAACAAACAGAAATCTGAAGAGGCCAAAGACCTCTTGTAAATGTCTATATACTGAATTGGTCTTAGTACTAGGACTATCAGACTGAGAAACACACACAACACATCAAAGAGCTTACAGTTGACTTATCAAGATATACTAAAGTGGGAACCACAATTAGAAGTAGGAAAGTAGGGCACAAAGGGCAAGGGACATCCATATAGTACAGCTGATATGGACAAGAGCCCAGTGTCCTCCCTGGACTCGTCACGGTGACAGACAGGTTAATAATACTTTACTCCTGCCACAACCTCTGATCCGCATGCTCTTCAGTTGGGATTTTGTCAGCTTGACTGCAGGCGGGTGATCAATGCAGAGAAATTCTGGATTGGTGTTTCTGAAGGGCTTAGAAATCTGACAGAATAAAGCATTACCAAGTTACATCTGTTTTCTTAAAGAACAAAAATGATTATCCTTTCATTCCTGTGTCTTTTGTTGGTGATAACCAATTTTAATGATTATCAGAAAATATTTTAATGGAAAAATGCACGCATCTCATTATCGTGCCCATCTGGAAAAGGATGAAATGAACAACCCTGCTCTCATATATCACACTGAAGATGCAGAATGGAAATGAATACCTGGCATCCACGAACTTCAGATAACTTATCTTAGAATATGCCTTAGGATTTCTGAGGCACAATAGAAAGCAGTAAGAATGATCTCAAGATTCTTAATTTAATCTAATATGAATAATACATCTAACACAATGGATATATTGTCTACATAATTCAAAATACTGGAAGTATTTGTAAGTAAACTTACTCTGTGTATGAAATATAACATTGGACCAAATCACAAATTTCAATTTTATACTAGAATTGCTAAATATTAGGATTGATATGCTAGGACATGAATAGTTTTTTTTTTTTTTTGGTACCGGGGATCGAACTCGGGACCTTGCCCTGCAAGGCAGGCAGCGGCACCGCTAAGCTAAATCCCCGGCATGAATATGAATAGCTTTCTGAATATGGATTCATAAAAAAGACAGGACCATGAAATTTACGTACTTTATTAAAAGCACAAAATTAAACATAAAAGTAGCATACTAAAATGAGTTACAAAATGCACACTTCTAAACACCGACAGGTACTACAGCACTAGAACTTGGAAAAAAACCCAAAAGGCAACACATCTGCAGTTGACGGAATGAGCTATTAAATTTTGTAGGCAAAATATTATGATATAATGGGAATGCTTTTTATTTGTAAAATATTCTGATCATCATTTAAATCCACTATTTTTGCACAGTGCTAAACATTTTATTATAGGTCTTTTTAAATGGCCTTTTTTCTTCTCAAAACAGTGCCTCCATTTTTTATATTCCAGACTGTTATTATATGAATGCATACAGCTAGCCCTTAAATTAAGGGCTAACTTAATTTAGGAGTATCACTTTTATTTAAAAAATTCTTAGTTTATAGCTAGGCATGGCAGGACACACCTGTAACCCCAACTAACAAGGAGGATAAGGTAGGAGGCTTGTTTGAACCCAGGAGCTTCAGATCATCCTGAACAACAGAGAGAGGCCTGGTCCCAAAGCCCCCCGAAATATAATTTCAATTATTGTAATTTGAAAACAAATGGCTCATTTTCTATGAATTAAAGCAGCAACAATAAAAATAAAAGGCAACATTTTTGAGAAGGGAATCCCCAGAATCTAATGATGTGATGATTATATCATTCCTTCAACTGCTAGACACAAAAGACACAGCAACAAAATAATTTGATTTCCATCACTAACAAATAACATCTGTATACAGAAATAAAGCTTTGAAACCAAGCAGTTCTATGGCAGATAAAGCTTTAGGTTGTGTGTTTGGGAGGAAAAGCTTACATAATAGTTGTGTTACTTTTAGGTCTTGTTAAAAAGGTATTTTTAAAAAATAACGTGATGTAGATGACTAGTAAGGATTTTTTTTTCATTTTCTGCAGTGGTAACTTATTTCATAATGATGTATGTTTATTTTAGGTATATAGTAACTAAGGAAGGGTTCAATATACAGATAAAATTTCTTGGAACACTCCAGCTTTTAAGTATTAATGAGAAATTTTCTACAAGCAAGGGACAAATTGAGGAGCTGGAAGCTAAATGAATTAGTCAAACTAAATTTTAATAGAGGTTATCTTTTGGACTCACTTACATGTCTTTGTTATACTGCAGGCCCTGATTTGTTTTACTTATTTAAACACAGTCACTATGTTTAACATGTATCCTCTGGCCTGTACCACCTGATAGGACTGTTCCATGCCACCCAATGGGACAGTTGTGCATGTGCTACTGGTGCTTCAGAGCCAGTCAGCAGCGATACATATGAATTATGGCCCCGTCATGAACTTGTCAAGCTCCAAAGAGCATAAGCCAAGGGCTGTAATACCTACTATTTTGTAGATGATTCTTATTGACTTAAAATGTCACATCTCAGGCTGGCAACGTAACTCAGTGGCAAAGCTCTTGCCTAGTATGCTTGAGGCCCTAGGTTCAGTCCCCAGTACTGTAAAACAAAACAGAATAAATCTCCTACCTCTATTAACCTTATGAAAATATATTCTTCTGGGCCACAGATTCACCAGGAAATCCGAACACAAGGAAATGGGTTACATTAGAAAATTATGTTGGTGATAAGGTTGAAGTTAGGAGTTCCTAACTACACAATGAAAGAATGTTTTATATCAATGGAAATCCCGGTCAGATTGTCAGGCTGTTTGTTGCATCATGGACACTACTAGGTGATTATGAGCTCATGGGTGAGAAAAAGAAGTTTGTAGCCAACTGGCCCTGAGCTACTGGACAACTGTAAGGCTTGGATTGCTTTCTGGCTCTGTCTGCCTGCCTGCCTGTCTGTCTCTGGGAGTGTAACTAAGGGCCTCACACATGCTAGCAAACACATTGTCACTGAGCCACATCTTCCAGGCCTATATTTCCATCTCTGAGCGAGCAAAATAGGTAATAATACCCCAACACTAGCTCTTCTAACACCAGAATGCTGCCCTTTTCCAGGGCGAGAGCTACATGCCCCAAGATGCGAAGGACTCCAAGTACCTGTGGTGATCTAGCCCTTAATCTTTCTAACCTCAATCCTTCCTAGGTCTCATTGCTTGGGGACAAGAAAGTTCCATGGCTATCTGTAGGTGGTATGGGGCTAAAACTGGTAGAGGCAGTCAGATCAAAGCATTCCCTTCCAGCTCCTATATTATGTAAGATTTTGGCTGGTTGTCTTCTGTTTCATTTAAACAGAACATTGGGAGGCTCAAGTGGCACACTGAAGTGTACTTTGTAATCTGCTCAAGGGAGGTCAGAAAACAGCTTCCATTGAACAAGCACAATGTAAACAAAGCAGTTGCCAAAGTTGTGCCAGGGGTAGGTTTCCTTCCTTGAAGGAAACAAACTGCCCTACACCAGCCATACTTAACTAGGAAATGAAATCTTGCAATGCTTGTCAATTTGGTTTGGGGTTCTGGATCTTAAAGAGGGAACAGAGGTCAACAATAATATTTTAAATGTCACTTGAATACATATTGATGTACACGCTAACTGATTATACATCAATAATTTTCTGTAAAAGATGAAATGGGAATTGATCATAATGAAAACTATCTTGTAGCTTACAGGGTGTTTCACTGCTTGCAGTCATTGAAAAGAAGAAAACTGCCACATACAACCTACCTGGGGTGTGCGTTTGTATGGGTGTGTGTGCGTGTGTTTGGGTGTGTGTGTTAAGTAGGGATTCACTTAAAAAGCAAACAATCTTTGCTAGTGGTCTTGCTAAAAAAAGTACTTCTACTATTGTTCAGTGTTGTTACCTAACGGTGACCTGTTACCTGCTACCAATTTTCTCTTCTGGTAAGATGTAGCTAACTAGAAAGCCTGTACAATAGCAAATGCTTTATATAAATCTTAGAGCAAAAAGAAAAATCTTTCCTTTTCAAAGCCTTAGGAATAACTTTCTCTTACTGACTTTTCCACTATTTATCACAGTCTTCTTACATTAAAAAAAAAAAGCTCCAAAGATTGCTTTCATGGACTATGTACATAAGTGCAAAAAAGGTGTGTCTCACACATTCGCACCCTAACTGAGACAATCAGGTAACTGCAGCATATGTCTCTTAAACACTGTTCGGGGGTCATTCCACAGTATCTTTATATATGGTTTTGCAAATATGAATTAATTTCAAAATGTGTTTAATCATGTTTTGATCCTCATGCATACTTGCATACATAATTTCATAAAAATTTTTTTGCAGCTACAGATATGTCATATAAACCAAAGTTATGAAAAGGTCAAGTGATTATATATATTGTGTTTTGAAGTCAAAATACTGTGGAATAACCCTATCCACACAACAAAATCTATAAACTATAAAGCCAGCCTCAAGAATCCACGTGTTGTAAACTTTTTGACCAAAAAGTCACAGGACACAAATTCAGCTTTCACATGTGACTTAGGGATTAAAATATTCAACCATATCTGTTTTCTGAGTTTTGAGCTGTATCATCTACATGCTCGTACTGTCACAAACCACGGATAGTTTACAAATAAAAGTTACACACACACACACACACACACAAATGTCTAAAGGTAGCCATGTTGTAGTTTTGTTGCCAAAGCAACAACTAAATATAGTTAACAATTATTATTTTTGTATAAAGTTAAATTTGTTCTTAAACTGTGAACTTAGAGAGTAGTTATGGACTGTCATCTATATCTGCCATGCTTTAGTGTCGGTTTGGAACCTATCTAGCTAGGCTGAATATATGTAGTAAAATAAAACTTAAAAACTTTCTCTAACTCTCCTTCAAAATTAAATTCTTAAATTTATTAGTTACTTAGAGATATAAAAAGTCATAAAATAAAAACCTTAAAAGCTAAGAATAAGAAAAATGAAAAGATGGCATCAATCAGTGAGTTGGTGCTCAGACTCTAGATTTGGTTATATTTATAATTTGATTAGGCTAGCAACTTAATTGACACAAATTTTTGGTATGCTCTTTTACATGCTGATTATTCTATTGCCCTCAGCAGACACTGATAAAATTAGGCCACTATCTCTATTCTTAATCAGAATTTGAGAAAAATATTTCCCCCACAAATTTTCTTTATTTCTATTTCAATGTATGTAAAATGTATAAGAGATAAGAATGAGTACTTCAGTTTCTAATCATTCTGTGCACGATTGCCCACCCTACAGACTAAAAGAACTCAGAAAACATTTGGCTATGCTTTACCTAAGCGCACCCTCACTGACTCCAAAAAGGGAGAAAAAGAACCAAATAACATTCCAAGAAGCCCCGAGCCTTCCCTCTTCTCGCGAAAAAATGTAACATAAATGTTGTTCCCTATTAGACATCACTATGATTACTGGTCAGGCCATTACAAACTGATTCAAGGTGTAATTTCATTTGGTACCTGCTGATGGCAGGGACAAGGTGCTGGCATCTTCCCAAATTGGAGAGCAGGTGCGCTGAGGCTTTCCACTACTGAACACAGCCTTGCACTGTAGGACAACACTCAAGGCCACAGCAAAATGCTTTTAGCATGATCAGAAACTGATGGAGATGACTTGATGGAATAGGGAGAAGATGGCTTTTATGATTAGCTACAAATTAAAGTCTAATCTAGAAAAGTGAAATGAAATGCAACAGCTGGTTGTGGAATCATGCTCCAATTGCAAAAGTAAATACTGTATTTAAATAGCAATTTTTATGAATCCATTTAACTTAATTTAATCTTAATCCTCCTTAAAATATACTTTCATTATGGTAACATAGTGCTTTTTGTAAAAAATCGATACTATTAAAATCCTCTTAAAAGATAACTTTTAGATTATTTTTCTGTATATAAGACCCGTTTTATCCAAGTTTCAGCACACTTGCATATTTTTGCAAAAGGCTGAGAAAAATGGACAAAAGCAATAATTTTGGATAAATAAAAATAGAGGCCCTGGTAAAATACAGATTATAAAATGTTAACTAAGAATTATAAGTGATTAGAATTTTATATATATAATTCATCCAGTAAATTTTTGCTTAGAGTCACTGATTAGTTTGTGACTTGTCTTTTTAACTGGGAATTTATAGTCTAATGACTTATTAGTCTAGTCTTTTCTTGAATAAAGATAATTTGAATAAGTCATTGCACAACTAATTTAAAGAGTGCTGTTTTAAAATTTCATTTTCTCAAAACTCTGTTGAATTTGATCAAATCTTTAGGGCTTTGAACTTTCTTTCCTTAAATTCATTTATATAGCAACTTTTCAAATGTCAACAATGTAGAAAACGGTGGCACCCAAAATACAACTACCCTGAATGTTCCTCACTCAATCTTTTACTAAAAATAGATCATTATTAATGTCTTCCAGTGCTTACGGCAACATGAAAACAGCTGTACTTTATGTCTATGTACATCTTTGTCAAAAGTTTAAAAAGTTAAATGAGATAGTATGTTGTATCAAAAATGTCAAAAAAGTTCATTTGCACAAAAAAAGTTCCCATCTTCATTAAGGAATACATCTAGACTAGGTCAGGTGCATCCTTTCTGGATTCGTGTGGTCAGAACTGCCCTTCTGGAGAGTCACTGACACAGGTTACACAAAACTCAGCTCCAAACACAAGGCATCTCCAAAAGGCATACCCTAGTTTCTTCTCTAGCAATGTTAAGATGTCAGGAAAGAGAAAACTAGTGGTTCAGAGAGTTACAGGTAAAGGAACAAATCTTGATCTCTAACTGCAGGCAACACTGTTAACAGATGACAGTAGCTCAATACAAGCAAGACTGTTTAGAAATCACTGTTGAGCAGGATTTGGGTTGATAATTAAGACCAATAGAATACCAACTACTGGAGTTAATTCTACTCTTTTGTATTCTGAGCCAAACTGACCTGCTTTGAGATGGGAATCTAAAATGCTCTGAAGCACATCATTAAAAGGATTTACAATTGGAGTCTGGAGATGGTTCTGAGTCTCACAATGGTTACTTAGCTTTGCGGAGGTCACCTAGTCTTGAGTTTCAGTCTTATAAACTGTGAAAAGTTTTTGCTGATTCCATTGTTTCTTAATTCAAACCTACCAGCTGGCTTAAGGTATCCTAAATCATATTTTCTCCTTGCTGGTCATTTTCATGAAGGAGAAAAACAACTCTTTTCTCTATATCAAATTTGATGGCTTTATATTTTCCAGTGAGAGAACATAAATTTAGTAGAAAATATTAAATCTATGTTGGTATAAAATATCATATGTTTCTACCACTGTATAATTGAATAGAATGGAGATGTACTATAGAGCACAGAAATTAATTGCTATTTTACTTGTGTATTAATGAGAATGCAGCTCATCTCTGAGGAATACAGTCACTCTATATTAACCAAAGAGTGTTAATCTACCCTATTATAAGCAGATATAAGGAATGACTCTAAACAAATGAAAAAAAAGAGCCTAAGTTTTGATGCAAAAGATTCTGATGTTAAAGCTTGGGCAGGAAAACACTTGTCATGTATCACAGGCACTTGGTCCTTCACTGAAGTGTTTAACAAAATTGCCAATTCAGTTAAACTTAAGCTCAAGACAAGTGTGACATCTTTCCCAGTTCTTTTGCATAAATCAAAGGGTAATTTTAAATGCCTCCCTGCCCCCGTCCCTGCCATTTCCCCAAACCTGTACTCAGGCTCCCTCTGTGATCAATAGAGAAGATTGTCCATTTGAAGAGGAAAGGCCTCATTTGGAACCAATTCTCTTTCACCCTGACTGACTTGTGCTAGATTGTATCTTATTATTTAAAGAATAGTCTAAGAGCTTGAGCCATTTGCATTTGGAAAATGGTACTTGTGTAAAAGGTTACATTGCAATGGTTTTACACACTTTCCGGCAGTATGTAAAAACTATCTCTACCTCCCCTACCTGTTTGATTTATAACCTGCAATTAGCATACCTTTAAGCCTCCAAGTACCACTTTCTCAGCTGAAGATGACAAATGGCTCAATTTTAGACACTCAACCTAGGAGATAGTATTCTTGAGAATAAAAAAAAATGTAATGGTTACTTTACATAATTTTTAGTAGAAATGCTGAAAAAATTCATTAAAAAGTCAATTGTTTTTCAAGCTATTTAAGAGGAGTGTATTAGGGGTTAATGTTTTAAGAAGTTTCCTACTTTGTGTGGCTAATTATTTCTCTCTTGAAGAAAATCTAGTAACTTTATTGAATTACACAAGGTTAGATCTGTAGACACAAATTATACACATGCATGTTTATGAACAGGTTTGTGCACACTCAAAAGTGAGGCATTGTATATGTGTGCCCCAAGAAACCTACAGAAATATTCTAAAGAGAGATATTAACATGAACCTGTCATGTTTTTCAAACACATAAACTTCTGTTCCCTACTAATAACATTTTAATTCATATCAAACACCACACATATACAGCAAAACACTATAGTATGTGAAAACTAAATATAGCCCAACCCAATATAATACCACCATGGGGAAAATGGTACTGGGTATATTTGTTACATTCTAAATCAACTCATTAAACTATCCTGTAAACAAAATAGTAAGGTAACACTTCAAAAACAGATTAACATTTTTAGCCATCAAAATGTACAGTAAGTCAACAGCACACTGTGGAAATTCATTTATGGTTACAGGGGAAAAAATCACAATATTTTATGATCATGTTCTATCTAATAATTCAAATCAGATGGATGGTAGTTTTGTGATCGTGTTTTAACATTTCTACTTATCTTTAATGCTTTATTTTACTTGGATTTGTTGGCTGGCATGTTTGCTTTGTTTAATACATTGAATGCATCATGCTTATTGTTGTGTTGGTAGAAGAGGACATATGAGAATATATATAGACAGGCCATATGGAGATTCTCATGGGGAGATTCTGATACTCCATGACTCTGCTGTTCAAGTTCAATACTTCGACTGAAATGGAAAAAAAGAGAAAGAGTGAGAAAATTTTGAAGGATTATTAATCTAGGAGTCAGGCGACTGGTTCTTGTTCAAGTTCTGAGAATGAATTATCCCAGTATATGTCCTATTCTGAATTTCAGATTTGACATCTGAAAATGGAACTGTTGGTGACAATCACCACAGAGCAATATAACTGGTAAGTTTATGGCAGTGATAGAGAACATTTTAGAGACTGAGTGCCAAACTGCAACCCAAAACCCACTTATTTATCACCAAGTGCCAACACTGAAATTAAACCTGAATACTGAGGTTTAGTTTAGAAAAAACAACTCTACATTAATATCTTTTGTCTTAAAAAAAACCCCAAAATAAAATGCATACCATAGATTCACCACCATTGGTCTATGGGAAGCCCCTACTGAGGAGCTAATGTGGAGAAATTCCCTAACAGAGATGCACTCCATTGTTTAAGGCATTTTCTATACAACGCTGAAACTTTTTGCTGATCATTCACCCATAGTTTCACATCCTTTAACAAGCATACATTGAGAAAACACTTTGAAATATGCCAGTATTAATGAAAAATTACACTTTTATTTGAATGTTTTAAAACCTTGCAGAAATACTCTAAGCGAAGTATATAGATATAATTTTTACTTTTGATCTTTAAAAATTTTCAACACCTATTACAAGTTGAAGTGATTATATTCTGCCCAATACCACTACACTTTCTAATGGAATCAGCAGAAAACAATCACACTTCCCTTTTGTTGGAAAGTTAATTACATTTGACGACTTTTGTTTACCTTGATGTGCAGCATCCTGTGAAAGTCAAGCAAATGTTGGATAAAACCTACAATCTCATGTTTAGTGCTTTTCACAAGTTGCCATCATCCCAAATGACACCCTGCAAACCATTACAACTTATAGCTCCTTCCATTATTCCACATACTCAAAGATATCTTTTTAAAACATTCCTTATGATGCAGAGGACCTATTTATATCAGGTGGCTATCCACTGTGTCCAAAATAGAGTTCTGGGCCTTGTCCTCAACAGCACATAAGGATTAGCTGGGATCCAGGGGACAAGTCCAATAGGGAACACAACTGCTGCCTATTTCAACCAAGTGACAGACACAATGCAGGTATACAACAACTTGGCAACTTTCAGTAAGTAATGTGTGCAGTTCAGAGTTGGTACACTTGTTTAATAAATCCCTAGAATTAAGATACAGAGAAGTCTTAAGAGGCTTCAAAAAACACAGTTCCAAGTGAGTGACTGCTCAAATTAGGTGTGTGCTACTATGGGCCCTGGATCAAGCAAAGACAGGTCAAAGGGGAAGGGAGAAAATCCAAGAACAACAAAAAGTTTTTTTAAAAACATGATTCAAATAAAAATAATGATTAAATTGCTAAATTATGTCACTCAAAATTCGAAACAGCTAGAGCAATTTTGTTTGACTTACACAGGAAGCAACACAATGCTGTGGACTATGAATGCATTATTTTTTACATTGTCATAGGAAAGCTGTAATGCACTGTTTTAAACAGAATCATCTGAGTCAAATCCTGATACAACTACTTTATTTTAACTTCACCAAAAAAATAAAGCTATAGAAATGTTAGACTTAAAAAATGTTAGACTTAAAATTCAAAGTAATTTGTGCTTTTGGCTAACAAATCCTACCCCCTTGACAATAGAAAAAGGTTTCAGAATTTGTAAGGTCACTGGGAAAATATAGTACTAGCTGTCATTTCCATATTTTAAAATATATATCTGCTCTCACATTTTAATTCAAAAATGTTGGGATGTGTAAATTAAGCTCTAGGTTATAAGCAATGTCTATTAATTAAAATACAAAAGCCTTTAGCAAATACAATTGTCTAAATAAAAGATATAACCTACATTACTCATATTAATACTTAAACTGACCTACTGGTATCTTTTACATCTGTGAAACAAACATGCTGCTATTCAGTTAGTCTATTTTTAATGGGGGTATCTACAGTAGTAAGAAAGACTTCAGATTAAAAGTTTCCTGATTTTTGTTTATTTTGTTCACTGCTTAGACATGGTAATCAATAACCATAATAAATTTCACAGAAAATTCTAGACATACTATCCATTTCACTAAGTTAATTTTGCAAAGCACAGATTAGAGTATGGTTTACTCTCCCAATGAATTAATGCTCTTTGTGCTTCCTGGTTATTTGTTTTAAACAGCAGTGGAACTTGCAGTCTGTGGGCATGCTCAGAACTTTTAATGAGGCAGGATGGCCATAGCATTATTCAGTAACTATTGTATGTATTGTCTTACAATTTCAAGACTCTCCCTAAATTTATAATTTTCCTGTGACTCTGCCTGAAATACCTACAGCAAATGAAAAAGCAATATAAGCATATCTAATGTGTATATGGCAGGGAATTTCTGATGTAATAACTGGTAATGATATCTGTGCCTTGGAAAGAAAAGTGATGTCTTTCTTTCCAGTGGATCTGAAAGTAAAGGTGATGATTGTATTAACTCAAAGTTCAAACACAATAACCAAAAATGGCAGTACATTAAAATAAATTCTCCTCTTGACCAATGAGGAAGAACTTAATTAATATTTGGTACAGTATATGCATTTTAGGATTGGTGTGGTACTAATAATTGGATACAAGGTATCAAGAACATCTGATCATCAATTAAAAATGAGTAAATTTCCACTGATTAACTTTGGGATGAATAGAAAGTGCATATGGTACCTTAGAATGTGCACAAAAAGAAAACTAATAAATATGACAATTGCTTAAGAAGCACATAAATGTACAGACTGATATCTGTCACCAATCCAAAAAACATATACTGTGCCTTTCCAACATGTTGTAATCTAGGTCTCAACAGGTGAAATAAATGGTCAAACCTGATTGCCTGTAGTTGTTGCAGCGAAGGGAACGCTGGTGGCAGGTGTTGTTGCTGCAGACATAGTGGTAGGTGTAGCACCGTGCATCACAGGCACTTTCAGTAGGAAACCATGGAAGCAACTCACAGGAAGGTGGAGCATTTATGCCACCAGGACATATGCGATGATGGAATGGGGTGTGGTAGGTATCACAGCAACAAGCCATGTGACATCATCATGATGGACACACCAGGGTGCAACATGCAATCAAAATCAGTGCAAAGCAACACAGCATGAAGGGGAAAAAATTAAAAAAGAGAAAACGGGAAAGCCAATTATAGTTATCATTTAGAAAAGCGGAACCATTCTCAACATTTAGTAAGTTTTTGAGTAGAATCACATTGTAGTTGACTCAAAAGGCCAAATTTTCACAAAGGGTTACAATGAATGCACATGAAAAAATAATCCGATGCTATCAGGGCTGTCTGAAGCTAATTAAGCAGACAAGTAACTGAGCTGCACATTAGACAGGGGATTAGGGAATTGTGAACTGGTGTTTAGGTTTCACTGACTTATTCACATAAGTGCCCTCACTAGATTTGCAGGTGCAAAAGGGTAGTTTTATGTATACTTACCTGATCTGCAGGCAAAAATTAAAAATTAGTTCTATTGGTATGTGGTAGGAGAGCAGCTATAAAGAACACAGTGAAGTATATGTGCAGATTTTTATGTATACTTCTAGAAAATTCCTTGGAATCGTTGGCTCTGCATCAAATAGATGGAGTAGTTCATGGAGTAGTTCATAGTAAATCTTGCCTTGACAGCAAATATTAGGGCTGCAATGGCTAGCAGCTGCAAAATCTCTTTTAGGATGTTTTTCTCTTTGCCTTTTCTAGTTTCTATTTCATTTGAAAGCTTTTGGATGCTTTTCTAATTTCCAGCTCATTTTGGAAAGCCAACCAGGGAATTAATGTGCAAATGGCAATGTGTGAATGGCAAGCATATATATAATAATTTATCACGTCTACATCAATTGAATTCAGATATTCTGAAAGTTTACTGAGGAAGTTAATGGTTAGAAGGAGGAAAATCAACATTCACAATGTCACGGGAAACAAAAACATACCCCAAATGGTGTTTAACAGAACTTCATCATTATCTCTTCTGTTCATCCCAAGTTACATATTACCTATAGCTATGCCTCATTGTCTGATGTGCCAATTTAAAAAACACTCCTGTTCACCCTCTGGGAATGCAGCAACTGTACAGGAAGTAGCACCACCATGCAAGCATGCAATTTGCATTCCTAAGCAGAGCTCTGGAAGTGAAAGGACAGGGCAGCATCCCCAAGAAATAGGTCACAAAATGTGAACACAAAGACACATTTCTCAGATTTGTAGCTGTCTATTCTTCTAATATGCATAGAATCTTCCTGTTAGTATCAATGGAAATGCTGTTCATTCCTATAAGGAACAGCTAATCGCTCAGTAACAGAGCCTCACTCTTCTACTGTCAGGGTTCAGACCTTGTTATGTGAGTGTTGCTTCTACATGGCCATTATTTTGATCTTTTGTTTTAACTCAATAGGCCCGCTGGTGCCTTTATGGCTCTGTAACTACTATAGTCCAATAATAGGATGGGGGTCAAGTGGTTGCAAACGCCCCCAAAAGGATGGGAGGAACTGTATCGATGAGATGCTGGGGTGGGTTAGGGTGGGATCATTCCTCCCTGCACTCAACAAACCTACAGTCTCCTCATCTGTTCCTGGTCCCCAGGAGAACCCTAAGAGCTGTGAACTTCCTACTTGCTTTTTCATCATCTTCAGTATAGTGATGGAAAAATAGCTTAGACATGGCTACCATATTGTGTCAGTGCCTAACTAAAGGATCTGTGTGCTAAAAACCACATAACCTCACCATTTTTAAAATGATTCTGCTGTGCCTATTTTCTGTGCAGATGGAACTTCATCTTAGAACACTACAAAATTCATTCCAGAACACTGCAGAAGGCTGTAGCTCTGTTCAAGTCATTCTTTCTCAACATTTGAGTACTGAATTGTTTGGGTAGCATGAACAACTTTTTGGGGCAAGAATTGTTTTACTGTACTTTATAAATTATACATTAAAATAGTGCACAATTTAAAAAAATAATAGATATAAATCTAAAAATAAAATTGTTCAGTTTGGCTAGGCAAAAAAGCATTTAAAAATATTTCAGTTGCTAGGTTAGGGCAGAAATAAGAGAAATGGAAGAGTCTGTATTTGGCCACAGTGGCAACCAACTAGGTCTTGAGAAAGTGGGGCGGTTTTGATTCCATAAACACGTGGGACACAAAACACAATATTAAACCTTAAATCAGAAAATGTCCAGTCACATCAGTCACTCATCTCTTTCACAGCCACAGCAGAGAAACACATTTTTCAGATTAGAAGAAGTTGAGAATTTTTGTACAAAACCTACCAAAACTTGTTGCGGGTGCCATGCACAGTATTGGCCCTGTACACCATGCAGAAAAGCGTGGAAAGTAAAGAAAAGAAAGATTTCATTATTGAGGCTTTTAAGATAGAAATGAATTTTAACCAGAAAGATATTTTCTTTGCATTATCAATTAATCAGCACATGCAAACCCAGTAATCTCTCATGCTTATAATTACAGATTAGCTTTAAGATCACAAAACCCAGTTAATTAAACTAGTTCTTGGATTCTTGAATAAAAAAATGAAGTTTAATTCTTCTTTACGGAAATTACTTCATTTGAATTACACATTTATCACACATATTCTTTTCAAAATATGTGCCAGGATCTGATGATATCTGGTGCCTGTTTTTCTACTTAGAGCATCAATCTATTACCACTACCATCTTCACCTCGCTAAAATTGAGGACTTGACAATGAACCTATGGCAAAAGGCTTTCCGTTAAGGGGGACTCCTTGTTTTTTTATTTTGCTGTTAATGAATGGAAAGCAGATTTTTCAGACATATTTTCACATAAATCTAACTTTTACATTGGCCAAATCTGCCATAAAAAAAGAAAAGAAAAAGAAATCTAACTTTTAAACAAAATAACTACCCAATTGAGAAAACCTATAATGAACAATGTACATTTTTTCACATTCAACCACCTTGGCTGGCATCCTGGGCTATCCAAATGAGAAGTAGCCAAGGTATGGGTAAAGTAGCACAAATTTTGAAAGAAAAAAATACCAAAATAAAATCACTTCAACCCTTATGGTTTTTCTCTTACTTTATGGACATTACATACTTACTTCCCTCCCATAGGTTTGGGGGAAAAGTGTAAATCATCAGATATCAGTGGTTCCTTTTTATAGGTAGTGTAAAAATGTGGTAAAAATTCCATTTCTCCTCCTCCTCAGAAACTATTATATAAATATGCAAAACTTGTGTGACTTAAACCTTGTTATGTAGAACTATTGTGGTCAGTAGCTAAAGACTTTTTCAAAATTAATTAACTGATTGATTTTTTAATTAACCATTTTTCCAGGTTTGAGTATATAACACTATATGCTTAACATGTTTATATAATTAGCCAAGCTTTCTAACTTAAATTTTTTTTATTTCTTTATTTATTTATCTCAGTACCGAATATCAAACTCAGGACCTTGTGCTTGCCAGGCAGGTGAGGCGCCACTGAGCTAAATCTCCTGCTCCCTAACTGAAATTTTAAAACTGATGTTATTCTCATTTAATAATAGTTTCCAAACTGGGGCATTCAGGATTCTAGCAAAACAAAACAAAACACCTCTACTCTACTCCCAGTGGTTAGTATTCTCACTTTATTCCTAAGGCATTTTAGGCTCATTCTTAAAGCGCTGAACCACTGGACAAAATTATTGTTGCTCATATCTAATATTTATTTGAACAAAATTCTGGCTTGATATTTTCTACTCAATTTGCTGCAAAACTTAAGTTTTGCTATTAAATATAACTGAACGTAGGAGGTTAACATTAGATATGCCACAAAGTATCAGAAAAATATAATAACTATATTTTTACATTAACTGGTTCAAGGGAGGCTAAAAGTACCTCTTTTTATCAACTATATTGTGTCATACTATATTTTCTAAAAAATGAAAGGCAGTTTTATAATAACTACCTTTGGTATATCAGAGCTATATGGAGTACTGGGTTTTGCAACACTGAAACTGAGATTTGTTTTTTGACAGCTGACCACCACCTGTGAAAGTGATACCCAAGAGTCAAGGAATTAGTTGAGACTGAACCAAGTGAACTGATCATAAAAAGCAAAAAATAAGAAAAACAGAAAGAAAAAATGTCAATACCTTCAGCATTAATTTTCTCAATCACAGAACAAACAGGAAGTTGTTCTAGCTACTAGCAGCTCGAGCATAATTACCATATTTTATTTCTAATCAATATACATGGGGATGGTCCCCATTATAAAAGCCCCTTAGAAGTTGCTTTGCACTGTACACATTCACAAGCCCTTTCGACTCATGGGGTCCAGAGCCATGTCCTCACCTGCAGGGATAAATGCTGGCTGCGGCAGCTGCACGTTAGCCAGGCCCTGTTGGCAGTGGAAAACAGTGGGACTAAAGACCGGGGTGGCACCGTTGGTCTTTTCAAGGGCCGATCTCTTTGGTATCAGTTGAAGTGCACCAGGCTGTAGGGCCTGTGGGGAGGGATGAATTAATCACTAGTACCAGAGAAAGTAATAAATGTACTCAAACCAAGCAAGCACCAGTTATTTAAAATACGGCCTGGGAATTCTCTGCAAGGGCATCCATTGAGCAAGACATCCAATAAGCAATGGCAAAGTAACCAACTGCTGGGATTAAGTGTAGTCTGTCGAAAACAGGAAATAAAAATACAAAGATAAAAAAGGTTTTCAAATTCACTAATTTTGACCTCATTTGGACAATATGTGACAGAAAACTATTATAACCATTAAATGACTTACAATTAACATATCAGTAATGCTCATTATTAATCTATAGAAATGAGATTAGCAGAAGCAACAGAAATAGCAGGAAAGATATTTGTCAATTAAAGTTCCAACATGGATCTAGGAAATAAATAGTATGCAGATAATAAAACATATGTTGGTAGATTAGTGCCTGATACTGTAGCCCTATGAAACAAAATCTAATGTATAGATCTCAGGTTCAAATCCATTTTTCCATATTTCCTAACTCACATGTAAAAGCAAATGAATCTTTCTTCCCCTCCCAGTTACCTCACCCAGATACCACATGTGGTTAAGCAAAATTTTTGCAGTTCTCATTTTATAGGCTTGCTGTGCATTTTGGTACACACCATTTGCTTTGTTAGATCTTTGTACGGTTTTAGAATAAAACCTATCAGCATTTTAAGCCCTTCTTTTATGCCTAGAGTTTTTCCAAAATCTCACTATGCTTGCAATACTCAAACTTGCCCCCAGATCAGATTCGTTGGAGAATTTTAATATTACCTGACATTTTTTCCCTTCAGCAAATTGAACATTACTTTAAAAACAAGTCTTAGCAACAATTAGGTGTGTTTCAAATTCTTAAGGAGACAGGAACACTCATGCTAGGTAACCAGCCTTTCATGTGCCAAAAAGGGTCGTGCCATACCCTCTTTATTCCTATGGAAAACAAAGGCCTAAAACTATCTTTGTTTACTTTTGGAGTCTCTGCTGTTAATGGATACAGTGTGAAAGGTCTGCTTTTTATATAAAGTTTATTTTCATCTCTTAAAAAGTGAAATAAAAATAAACTCAGTAATTTAGCAGATATATAATTTCCCAATTTATCTGGGAAGACCAGATGACAAAGGTCAGGACTAAAATCACTAACTGTAAAATGTAATTTATCATGTTGTATGCATTTTATTACCAATGAGGGGAAATGGGCTTGCCAAAGATTTTAAGAAAGTAGGATGGGAAACTATTTGTCTGGTTATTTAAAAGATTTCCCTTTGGAGCCAGGTGTGGGTGGCATATGCCTGTAATCCCAGCACTCTGAAAGGCTGAAGCAGGAGGATCAAAAGTTTGAGCCTAGCCTAAGAAGTTTAGTGATTTAGCAAACTCTGTCTCAAACAAACAAATAAAAGACTTGGGGATGTAGCTCAGTGTGAAGGTCCTGAGTTCAATCCCTAGTACAAAAGGAAGAAATCATTTCCCTTTGGTATATAAGTGGAAGGTGCCTCTTTCTCTAGAATGCCAAGCAAATGGTAGGAAGCAGCACCGAAGCTGTGTTGCCTGGTGAACTACAAACTGAGGTAAGGCCTGATGGACACTCACCCAGTGGACCCTGATACGACAGTACTGCTTGTTCACTGCTGGGGTCTACCTTGAGATGCCAGTGCCCAGTTCTCATTGCCGGGGTGATACTATTATCAAATGTTTCTCTAATCAACCCTCATAAGGGCCTCAACAGCCTCATCACCAACTCTCTAACTTGCCAAAGACTAGATGAAATAAATATCAATCCTCCAAATCTTTTTTTTTTTAACACAATTCACATGTCTCGCTGCTGAGTGGCTTGAACCACTGAGGGGTTCAAGCCGGTGGGAATGTGTGAATGCATACAAGCTGCTCTCAGCAAAGTCAACTGAGCTATACCCATGCACAAGGTGAAAATGCCCCCTTTCCAAAGCATTTCTACTCTAAATCCCTAAAAATATAAAAGAAGATTAAAGTTCTTCATGAAGGCCTCCTTTATTTAGTCCTACCTATAACTTCATATGGGCCAGTTTGACCTTACCACTAAGACCTCACTGTGATCAGTTACTCAGAAAGGAATTTTATATTGGCATTCACAAATAACAATGGAAGGTATCCAATGTTCAGCTCCCTAAATGGAAACTTGAGGCTGATATATAACTTATGCCTTCTACCAAACACACCCAAACTATCAGATACATATGAAGACCCACAGGCCTGAGTATGGATACAGGTGCATAATGGCATAAGCAAGCTGTTCTTTATATATTCCATGTGTATGTCTATTCATTTTTAGGGGAAAGCTACATTCTGCTCCTTTAATAGGTCCATACTGTTTTTGAAACCAAGACAAGTAATCAAAAAATTGAACACTTAACTGGACATTGTGGCACATGTCTGTATTTCCAGCTACTTGGCAGATTGAGGCACTTGAGCCCAGGAGTTACGGGTCAGCCTGGTCAAAACAGTGAAACCCTGTCTCTTAAAAAAATCAAAGGCTTAAACTCTGCATTAAACCTCCTAGATAATGTACCATTTTAATACCTTAGAAGTCCTCCAATCTGAAGCATTTAAAACAAAAAATATTTGTTGATGTCTTTTTAAACATTCATTAATAGAATACGTTGCCCAGCTCAAGCAGAAAGTAAGTTTGTTTTGCTTTGGTGCTAATATCCTTCACAAAGTAATGAATTTAATTGAGGCAGTCCGAAAATAGTGCAGGGTCCTTGAAACCAGTCTATGCAGAACAGGTGGAGACATCTGGGGTATTTGCCTTAGAGAGAGACATGAGAGGCCACTCATATGCAGAGTGATCAAGAAATATGGTGAATATTTAAAAATGTTTAAAGTTTATTATATTAAAAGACCAATGCCATTATTCTCCCTCAAAATATTCCTACTCTCCTTGAACACATTTATCCCATGGTTCTTGCCACTTTCTGAAGCAGTTCCGGAAGTCCTCTTTTATATGTGTCTTTAGTTGTACTGCCTCAGTATCCTGAATTGATTCAGAACATTTACCTTTCATGGTCATTTTGACTTTGAGGACAGCCACAAGTCACAAGGTGGCAGATCTGGTGAATAAGGTAGATGGGGACAGACCATAATGGTTTTATTTGCCAGAAATTGCCATAAACATTTTGAATTGATTCAGGACATCAAAGCAGCCATGAAAAGATACTCACAAAAGAGGACTTTGAGAATTGTTTCAGAAAGTAGCAAGAATGATGGAGTAAGTGTGTTTAAAGCAAGGGGAAATATTCTGAACAGTATTAATGGCAATGTGTCTTATGCGGTAACACAATTAAAAAATCTTTTTTTGGTATGGGGGATGGAACTCAGGACCTTGCGCTTTTGAGGCAGGCGGCGGCACCACTGAGCTAAACCCCCAGTCCTAAAATATTTTTTAATTTAGACATTAACTGCGTTTATCACACAAGGCATGGGATAGGGGCTGACATGTTCTGTGAAGTTCCAGTTGCAACAAGATAAGTTTCAACTCAGTATGAGGAAAATCTTCCCAATAGGGATGTTTGAAAAGAGGTATAATTCTTTTGTAAAAGATAAGATCTCTGGCATTGGAATCTGAACAATACATGCCAGTGAGGGGATTGTGTTCATACTGCATTTTTTTTTTTTGAGATAGGGTCTCACTATGCAGTGCAGGCTGGCCACGAACTCACGGTGATCCTCCGGCTTCAGTCTCCTGAGTGCTGGGATTACAGACGAGCACCACCATGTCTGGCTTCATACTGCATTTTCAGGACTTTAAGGTAATGTAGGTGCTTTTCTCACAGACAGTAAGCATAAGGTTTCCTTAAGGTTTTGTCCCTTATTGAACTGTTTCCTTTTACATGAGGAATGTCACAGGTAGCAAAAGAAATCAACAGCACACAGATCATCAGCTGTGATATACTTGAGTAATCCTAAATCCCATTTCTTAACCTGTCACAGTGCAGTGTTACCCAAATATTTTTCCAACTTCCTTCCTTTTAACGTTATTAAGCACAGTTAACTTTTACCCAAAGCTGACTTGCTAGGAAAATTCAAAGGTAAGCCTCCTCCGCTTGTCCTGTAGAAATATCCCCAGCTCCCAGCCTCAGCAGGCTTTGGCCTTTTGTTCTCCCTTCTGCTAGCATAATGCCTCCAGAAAGGAAATGTACCCTTAACCTTTGGGAAATTAGGCCCTACTTAATACACCATCCTTCAAGTGCTTTGTTTTCAAAAGGCATTAAGGATGTGAGCCACAAAATGTACCCATGCAAGTGACTCACAGAGCGGAGAGGCAACTTTCTGCTTTTTCTCAGATATTAGAAGTAGTTAGACTCTAACAACCACTCAAGAATAATTTGCTGCTTAAATCATATAATTTATCCCCTCTCTGAAAATGGGAGAAAGCACAGTGGGCTACAATCATTAGTAAAGCTTTTAAATAATTATCTTCAGAAAATCTTAGTAAATAAAGTAAATAGGTTCTATATTTTCTAGCTCATAACCTTGATTGTTCATCTTAAGGTCCATTTGTGACTATCTGACCATATGGTTACAGAACATTAGATAAACTGGAGGACATACTTATCATTTCCCCTAACATAGAAAGCCCAAGAGTCTTACCATCGCGGTGGCACCAGAATGGTTCGCCTGGTGATGTGCAGCCTTGAGTTTGGCTTGCAAGTGTGCAGGAGGATGAAAATACTTGCATCTCTCCCTGGAACAGCGGCCTTTGATGTAATCCATGCAGATAGTCACAGTATTATCACTTGCTTCAATCATAGAAACATCTGTAGGGTGAGCATAACGGCAATCGTTCTCCCCACGGGTACAATTTCCACGCTGAAATTCACGGCACACCTTAAAGAGGAAAACACACACACACACACACACACACACACACAGATTATAATGTGACCGGCTTTTATTTACTATGCAGGTGGTTATAAGAATAATCATATACATTTTGTCACTTATTTCAGAAAAATGTAAAAAGGTGAAGGATAATGCAAAGCCATATTCACGATGAGATGTAAACAATTTATATTTCTAGAACATTTTCTATTCTCCACAAAGGGAAGTTTTACAACTGACACAAAAGAACTTAGGAATGTTCCTGAAAACCAGTTTTAATCTATCAGTTAATACACAGCCTCGAGTGTAATTAGATTTTTTTAAGGGTCAAGATGAGTCTTTTATCACACAGTAATACACTGGTGGTTTTCCACAGCCAACTTGTGAGCCATGCTTGTGTTACATGTACAAGCAGATTCCATTACAATACATTACCAGACATTTAAGAGGCTGCCAATGAAGCTGACTTTCTAAGAAACTGACTAGTTATTGATTTCAATGTACAAAGAATGACAAAGAAAAACTAAAGGACTCCAACAAATCAAAAAGCTGTCTGAAATTTCCTTTAGATTCTTTAGGTATTACAAGATACTATGTAGTACATCCTTCTCAGAATACAGAAAGAGGCTTAGACGCTATGACACTAAAGTCTGCATTCATGTAACTTTATAGTCTGTAATTGTACAGAGGTAGATTTGATTTTTTTTCTCCAGTTTACTACTCTAGCAAGTAGAGACTCACTAACAAAGTAATCCTATTTTGTAGAGCCGGTGCCAGTGTTCATGGAACTTCCCCACCCAGATTTAATGTCGCATGGTCTGTGGCTGGGTACATTAAAGCATTGTTTGCCCTATTATGCAACTGAATTGATGCTTCATAACAAGGTATAACTGCAGTAGTAAAATGTTTAACATTTTTCTAAGATTATTCTCTGTAAGCTAAATAACTTGGGTGTACTTATTTAAAACATTTAATACACTGCATTCCAGAAATGATACTTTATGCATAAGGTTAATATCCTCTTCACAAATATCTATTTCCTAACAAATACCTCCAGTTTATCTGAACGCATCAGCTTTGGAGCAGGAATTCCTGTCAGTGGGAGAGGTGGATTTCCAGAAATCAGAACAGGTGTATTTGGTACAAGTTCAGCTGGAACCAGGCTCATCCCAGTATGAGATACATATGGACTGAAAGCCATGGTAGGATTAGCTGTAAGTGATGGAGTCACAGGAATATTCTGTATGTTTAAAAGAAGAGGGAAAAAAAGATGTTAGAGGTAAACAGATTCTTATTACACAAGAAGGCATTCTTTCAGAAATATCAGAATTTCCTGAGCCATATCAAAATTATTTCTTCTGATTGACTTATTTTATTTTACTTTCTTGGTACCAGGGATCGAACTTGGGACATTGCACTTGCAAGGCAGGCGGCAGAACCACTGAGCTAAATCCCCAGCCTGATTGACTTATTTTAGTCACCACACAGAAGTTGTTTATAAACCAACAAATCTCTTCAAGTACTATTTATTGGTAAGCTGATAAAGGAAACGACAGGATTTTAACAGTCATGAAGTTGCCACATTAAATCTCACTGCTTCAAGTGGATTTTCTCTAGTACTTCCTCTTTTTAACCCTAAAAACTATACCACTAGTGACAGCACATATATAATCTCCCTTGTCTCCTCATACAGGCATGGGCTTTGCAGGTGGACTTCAGGTACTCCCAAAGACCCCCTTCCTCCCACCCTTTTCCCTTCAATACTGCTTGATTCTAAGACTGCCTGTCCCACAATAGGCCCCACCTTTACTACTACCAAACACTGGCCTTGCTTCTTTTCTTGGTCTACCAACATTTATGGAAGACAGCCAGGAGTTGAAAAAGAAAAGCAGACCTTAAAGAAAGGTATGTGCTTTAACAACTTCTTGCCATCTACCTAAAAAATGATTGGAATGGATGTTGTATTTTGTTATTTTTTTAAACTACAGGCCCTGTTTCACAAATGAATAGGACTTGCCTAGCTTTGCCTTTATCTAGTGGGTCAGACGATGCAGTTCAAAAACAGGCCCAAGAAATGCTACAAGAATCCTTGTTAGGCAAGAAGAGATAAGATAACAGGATTATATGGAACATAAACTAGAACATAACTTGCAAAGAAAAGCCTAGAAATGCAGAGTGATTACTGGTTTTCCTATCTTTAAAAGTCCTGGATTCAGAGTTGTATATAAGCAGTGCCTTTATTATCTGTAACTGCATAAGTAACCTCTTTATTGTACTGCTTTTCAGTTTCTTTTACACATATCTTTCTTTCTCCGTGTGGTTATAATTTCTTTGATAGCTCTCTTATCTGCCTATAGTAGCCAATACCTAGTAAATGACTGGCTGACAGATATACTCAGTACATTTAAAAAATAAATTTTAACAGTTTAATGAATGAATACATCTGATTAAATGTTGTATATTTCCAATAGTAACTAAATACAGTAGCTATTATGTAACTGGCAGTGTCTCATTGTGTATCACTAATCGTAGTGTTCTTTCTTGTTTTCTATTTCTTCAGCTACGAAGTAATCGTGAATCTGTTGCGCTGCCAAGCTGTGCCCACACTCGCTAAGTCACATTAATAGGAACAGTTCTGAATACACAGAATAGGAAGCTGTGGAGTCTGGAGGGGGCAATAGATTCTCTCTGCCACATGGTCCACACTTACTTGAAATTTTACCAGCACAGCATTTCTCAGGAAGCTCCTGTTATAAGCTACATTTGGTTTAGATGGAAGCACTCTCCCATTAGCACATTATCTTGTGTGAATTTATCAAATTAGCTGATTGGCACATTAAGAAGCCCTGAAAAAAAAATCTGTCTCCCAAGAACAAGTAAGAGTCACCAGGGTGAGCTAAGAAGACACAGTGGCCAAGAGTTTAGGAGGAGATGGGCAACTCCTAGTGCCAGGAAAGAAAAGGTAGAGATTGGGGGGGTGGGTATTAAGGTCCCAGGATAAATAGCCTAGGGCTGACTCTGTCTAACCAGATCTCACGATATAAAGGGCTCCAGGGAACTGTTACACTTCTCATTAAATGAGATGTGAAGCTCTAGGAATTAGCTAATGTGACATTATTTTATTTAACAGGAAAAAAATCTCTTGGAAACAACCACTCAGGCATGCTTCGGCAACAAGGCAGACTGTACTAATTCAGTGATTCATGATCATATCTAAATCAGCAAGAATCTCCGAAGGCAAAAACTCCTTACTTAAACCACAAAATAGTTTTTGTTTTCTTTTTTGTTTTCTCATGGGGTTTTGTGGTAACTTTCTCGGTGAAGCTGCCACTCCATTCTCTAGGGTACTTTTTGCTTTTGCCTTTATAAAACTGGTAAAAGACCATTATTACATCCATTAACTATTGAACTGTAACAAAGGCTAGGAAGTGAGTGGATTTTCCAGATTTAAAAGCTATTAATCACCAACAAATTACTATTAATTAAATTAATGATCAATTAATATTTAGGCTGAAAGTACACATGAACAATGCTTTTTAAAATGGTATTCTGAATTCATTCTGTAATTTTTTTCTTCTTTTTGGGGGGTGACTCAGCAGGAAAATTCTGATTAACTTCTGCTTTCCTTGGAATATATTTTAACCTACTTAGGTCTGTTATGAGCTCTAAGCATATACAAAAGAGGCAGCAAATAATCAGTCTATATACAAAATATAAGAAGCTTGCTGAAAAAGTTTAGATCTTTTAAAGATTTCATCACAAACTGTAATGTGCTATCTTTAGATTTTAAAATTAGTATCATAGCTTTTATGACTATTTCCTCCTTGAGTATAAATTTCATTTTATAATACGTTTATTGAGAAGCAGCAAGTTCTTCCATTCACAGCCCTATGGCTCAGGCAGGAACTCCTGAGCTACTCATTTATTTTCATATAGACATTTCTGTTTTCTCACCACCACCTCTGCCCTAGGGTAACTACTCCATTTCATGAATTTGAGCAACTAAGGGGTTAGCCTTGACTAACAGCTATGGGTTAAGTCAAGCAGGCTGCACACTCACACATTCAGCTTTAATAAGTAACTTAATCCTGCTTCTATCTGTATATCACAGGCCTTGATGTTAGTTGAGCTAACATGAACCTATCTGTAGGCTAATCCTTATTTTAAAGAAAAGAATTGGGGGAGGGGTTGCTGGGATTGAACCTATGGCCTTGTGCATGCTAATCAAAGGCTCTACTGCTGAGGTACACCCCCAGCCCTAAGAGAAAAAAGTTCTTAATTCATTGAATCTGATTTCTCTTTATAGGCTAATATAGTCTGGACACTTAAATATGTTTCAGATGTTTAAATCTGAGTCTAATTTATTTACTAAATACTTGGAAATGTGAGAAGAGTTTTCCTCCCAGAACCAGAGGTAAAACAAAATGATGGAGACAACAGATTTTATGAACAAGGCAGTCACCTGACAATTCTTTCCCCTCAGTGTCTCTACGAGTATTACCTCCTATGATAGGAATTCCCCTGTGTCCCCAGTGACTAGCACAGTATCTAGGAACTAGCAGGCATTCAGGAAATGCCTCCTGAAAATTAATGAAATAGTTGCCTACAGTAGCTCCCAATGTTTTGAGCTTGAGACTTCTCTGAGAGTCAGATAAAAGCTGCAGTCCTTATCTACAGAAAAACTCGTGTATGCACAAAATGCTCTGTGCTGACCTCAGGGCCAAGGGCTCCATGACACTCATCTGTGGATCAGGGTTATGGACTATGTACTGGTTAAGAAGCTTATAGAATAAGGATCCACAAACCAGGGCTCCCTTTTCAAATCCATCCTGCCTCTATTTTTTGTATGGCAGCAACCTTGTTTTATAATTTTAAATGGTTGAAAAATATTACAAGAACTATAATATTTAGTAACACGTGAAAATTACATGAAATTCCTTTCACATCTGTTCAGAGGTTGCATTGTGCTCTTTAGTAGACCTCTATCACAAGAAATTGTGGATATTTATTTTCTTTCTTGGTATACAGGAACTATATATCCTCAACTTTGCCCCTTGTCCCACACAGCCTAAAATATTTACTATCTAGCCATTTACAGAAAAGTTCACTGTACTAGAGGATCCCAAAAATTTAAACTTTCCAATTTCTACAGTAAAGCACTAATTAGACACAAATCTGCTGACGTGAATTTAATATTTTTGGTAAGATTCCACAAGTTAAAGAAGTCTAGTTTTATAAATTAATATTAAACTATTCGCTAGAGTGTTCTTTTAGGGATCTTAACTGTTTATACATCACTGTGATTAACAATGAGGAGATAGTAGTTGTAATTCTATAAAAGTTTAGGAGCAAACCAAATATTGGTCTTACAGGATTCTGAAACACCTCTGAATAATAAATCAATCAATAAAACTCATCGCCTCTTTATTCATTCATCTATTGATGGACACCTTGACTGATTCAGTATCTTGACTATTGTCAATAGTGCTGCAACAAACATGGAAGTGCACGTATCTCGTTATAATGACATGAATATTGTCTACAACAATTTCTGATGTATATCAAAATCAATAGAAGAGTCTAAAGGTTTCCAACACATAGAAATTATAAAGGTTTGAGACAGAAATGCCAATTAGCCTTATTTGATCTTTACACATTCTATATATGTATCAAATTATTGTACTGTATCTCATAAACATATACAAATATATGTAAATTAAAAAGGAAAACTATGCTTCAAATAAACGTCGACTTTACACACATTTTAGGAATGCTAACTTTTTACTTAAAACAGGATGCTGAATGAGCTAGTATAATGAAATGAAAATTTAACTAATTATGCTAAATCAATCATGATGTCTCACAACAGAGTAGATCTATATGTAGTTCCCTCAATAAAATCCAAGATCAGTTACAATTATTGATGGATGAATACTAAATATGTTAAGTCACTTAAATGGCATTCTGTTCTGAAGTGTAAAGAATAATTGAGGTCTTCCTTCTAAATGGCTGTCCATAAGTGGACAACTGAACATTTTCTTTCATACTAAGGTAAACATTTGGTAACAATTTACCGTCGATTTTAATGCTGGGAATAGCACTCTTAAATTTTACTAGCACTCATGATGCCATCTTTTTATTGCTCATTTACAAACATTTATGAAGTATAAAAGAAGCCAGCCCCCTTTAGCATCATCAGGCTCATTTCCAGCCTTAGATAATTCAAAAGCACATTGAAAT